TGCGTTGACACATGCGCAGAGGCGTTCACGCGTGCGCGTAAGACCTTTTACGACTGCGCATATGAGTGTGCGCAAGTGCAGAATGCGTTTTCGCGTGCACATTTTATGTATAATGGACGTATAAGCTAAATAATTATCTATTTCAGTTAATGTTGATGATTGCGTTGTTCCTTAATTTTTGAATTGCACCTCATTCATTTCTTCCGGCTTATTATTTTTTGCAGACTGTAAGAGCAATTTTATAAAAGTAAGCTTAAACTTTCGATTATATCAAATAGAATTTCCGATATATATTTGTTAATATGTAAAGGATCTAAAGCGAAAGTATGTTTTGAAATCCGAAATCTGTTTATCAATTTCACGCTGCTCGGCGGCGGGTGCGTAATGAATTGGAAGTTGATTTGTCAGCACTATCCTTATCTTCAGCGCAGATGTTTTTATTTTATTTGGCTTATAATTCCTTACCAAATGTAGTATTTCATCTCGATATGCTTCGTCTTTGATATGATTTAAAACAAGTTCCTCGTCATTATAATTCGCTTCCGATAGCGAAGAAAAGTGACAGAGGTTATTGAAAACAAAAAAATTTCGATTGACAAATTAGTCGGTGTTCTTGACACAGCAATTATAGGACTTGAACGGCGGAACTTTGTAACTGAACAAGAAATTATGTCTGTTTAATAGAATTAAAGAGAAAGTATTATCACATGAAAACGAAGCAAAACTTAAACAACTTACATTGAAAGAAATGTTTAATAAAGTAAACAAATAAATATTAAGCTTTTTCTTTTTGCAAATTTTGATACCCTTTAGATCATAATTGTTCTTTATTTCATAAATTACGGTTTCATATTTTTAATTTTAGAATTTCTGCATGCTATCTTACGAGATTTAAACTGATGATCTATAATCCGGAAAAATCGATAATCCGGAATCGCCGAAGTCCCGACGAGTCCGGATTAACGACTTTTGACTGTATAAACCTTAATACACCTTCAGTACTTGCACTCACACGTCCAAGCTGAATTGTAACGAATTATAGCCCAGAATGTTTTTATACAAAGCAAGAAGTTTAAATATCCCCGATAAAACAGATCTACATATTTTTCATAATTCCATTTTTATTTTTATAGTTTATAATATCATATATTTATTGCATCCTCATGTAGGGATGCTTGTAAAAAAATAAATATAAGCTCACATAATTATAGAAGTATGCAACATCTTAATGAAGCAGTGAAGTGTTCCCTGAAACACTTCAAAAGATGCATATGCATTAAAAAACGCCATGGTTTGGCTATCGCTTAATCTCGACATTATAGAACTCATTGTCACGATGTTCCTGCAAACGCTGCTCGGAGTAGCTGCTCAAATAGATTTTTCAACAGGTTCAAAGTAGAAATGGAAGCGCTGACTCATCTCCCCTACGTTTCTATTCCGTCGAAGTGAGCGTTTACATTGTCAAAGTAATCGTAAGCTCTGACAGGTGTAAACTGACCTTTACTCTGGCCAAAGGCCGAATGTTATGTTTAAAGGACTGTGTAAAATTTTTGGTATGGAAAAGACTGAGACCACAACTTTACATCCTTAGTCAAATGGTATGGTGGAGTGATTCATTTGAACAATATTAAACCATTTCTCACTATTCATATTCCAAAATTTGCAGGCCTGGACAAAAAACTGCATTTATTCCTTCTAGCATTACATTCAACAATTAATCCTTTGCTGAAAAAAATAAAGAAGCTTCTTTTTTTAAATGGCTAATTACTGTAGATGAGAAGTGGATACTATACAGGGTGTCACGTAAATGTTGTGACTTACTTCTGGGGAAGGAAGGCCACATCATAAGGATTAAGAATTGCATAGGAAACCATGCCCAGAAATGTTACTGTACAGGCGGTGCCTGGGGCTGTTACAGAGTGCTGCCAGGTGTTTCCACTAACTGAGTGCTAGTGGAAAATGAGGATTGCTCGTTCATGTGGTAGGCACCATATGAAGAGCATGGAATGCTATACGAATGAAGAGCTTGCAGACACGAATAGCTGGGAGTAATGGACCAGCTGCTGCATGCATTTATTGAAAATGCTTCCTTGACAGACATCAACCACACCACAGTTTGTTTTCATGCCTGCATCAAAATTTGTGTGACTACTGGTCATTAAGAAAAAGGGAGGACAATTGAGGACAAGTCGCGATCGATTCACTTGGTTGTTAGGAAGAAAATGTGTTGAATATGGTGGAGAGTAATCCAAGGACTAATGTACGTGCCATTGCATCTCAATTAAAAATGTCTCATACCTGTATCCATTGGGTTTTGAACACCAAGTCCTTCCCCGCCTTTTGTCTCCAAAGGGTTCAGTTACTGCTTCCCGATAACTATCCTGAACATGTGTGTTTCGCACAGTGGTTCTGCAAGAAAGTGCCCATGAAGTTAATTTCCCTGCTTAAGTGTTGTTCACAAATGAGGCCACATTCAATATTTATGGCGTGTTCGATGACCACAATCAGCATTTGTAGGCCCAAGAAAACCCCCACGGTGTGTAGCACCACGTGGCACAACAATGCTTCAAAATTAATGTGTGGGTGGGTTTGGTTGGTGACTGCTTAGTCGGGCTGTACCTTTTACCATCCAAGTTGAATGCCGCAAATTATCTGATCTTTCTGGAGCAGGTTCTTCCCGGCTTGCCTTAGGATTCACCAAATGTTGATCTTCCACTAAATGGGAGGTGCAACATGTGGTTCCAACATGATGTGTTGGAATGCGTACTCATTTTGGACTGGATGTTTTTAGCCATTTGAAGAGATCAATCCTGCACCGATGGATTAGGCGTGGTGGACGGGTCTCTGGCCCCCATGCTCACCCAATTTATCGAGCCTTGATTTTTTTTCCTGTGTAACTGCTACGGTCAAAAATAAACTCCCGGTATGTTTAAACATGTCCAGCAATGAATGGTCCATCTTTGTCAGGCATGTTTGGCGTCTGAGTGTGCAAACTTCAAACATCTGCTGTAACATTCAAGCTACAGTACACCATTTTTATTCATGTCCAATAAATGTTTCAAATTAATCACTTTCTTGTTTCCTTTCCCATTTTCTACCTCTGCTACCACTTACCCCTGACATTTCCGGGCATGGGTTCCTGTGCAATTTGTAATCCTTATGATGTGCCCTACCTCCATCAGAAGTTTGTCACAACATTTACGGGACACCCGGTATAATAATGTTATATGAAAAAGATCATTGGCCAAATCAAGACACCTCATTTAGTAACATTCAGATGGGGGCTGCATCGCAAAACATATTGCTTTATGCATGGTGGAACTACAAAGGAGTTATATGCTATGAATTGTCACCACCAAATCATTCATTAAATTCAGAAAATAGTCTTCCCAAATAGCAGTTTTAAAAGCAGAAATCTAAGAGAAGTGCCTAGAATTGACAAATTACTAGTTTTCCATCATGACAATGCATGGCCCTACATTTCAGTGAATGTCAGACAGACTGAGTATGGTTGTGATATTTTGTGTCATTATTTATAACGTGCCAAAATGTTACACAGCACTTGGGATGTTGTATAACACTAAGGATACAGAGTAAATAGTGCAGCTGCCAGAAGAAAAACAACTTAATTCATCTTTAGAGGAGCAATATTATGTTCTCTAACCTTTTTGATGGTTATCAACAAACTCAGCTCGCATTCCATTTGCACACCATATTGGGAAAAATGAACATAGCTTGCATTGAAAATTTATGATTGACAGATATTGCATGTATTTGGGAAGAAAGACTTGCTTAATCGTATTTAGTAACAGCTGAATTCTTTGCACGAAGTTCTAAACTTTAAATCTGCATTTCTGTCATGTCAGCAGCAAATTCATTGCTTATTTCAATTGATTTGATTATATGCATTAAGTTCTCTAAAGATTTATGTTATAGAATCCTTTGTAAATCATTACTCGGAGTTTTTAGGACATGCAACATGCAAGTTCTTTTAAATACGTTAAAGAAGCTAAAAAGAATTTGTGTAAAATAACTTACTTCTGATAAACTGAATTCTGCAATATGTATTAGAAACTGTTATTTAAATATCTTCATTAGTTACTGAATAAGATATTTTCTTTCGATTAGTTATTAAAAAAGTTTTGTTTCTCACTGAATACACATATATTTTTTAACAGAAATATAACTTTTCTTAGCCTTAAGTTCAAGAGTATAAAATTATGTTCAATCTTTTTTTTTTCTTTTGATGTGCCTGGGAATGACACACTGCTATGTTCTAGTAATGTTGTAATACTAACATAGCAGAGTTATTTATACTGGTAGTGATAAAGTGCTGCAATCACATAATACTTATTTTCTTGTTATGTGCAATATTTTGCTTTGGTGTTCATTTTCTTAATGTAAAGATCGCAAGAATGACATTTAGATTATTATAAAAAATAAGGCAGTGAAATAATCTGCAGAACAAGATTTTAAATATAAAGCGAATACAGACCTCAAGAATAGATAAAAGTGGCTGTGTCAGTCAAAGTGTAATAAAGCCGTGTTACTTAGTTAAATGTATAACAAACATTTGGAATGTGTATGTTGGAATTCTTTCTCACTTCCTTCTTTTGCATTGTTGTAGTCATTCATTATACTTTTTTCCTTTATGATTACCTGATTTGAATGTATTTTGACATCTAAACTTTTTTAATAATATGCTTAACTATGTTTTATAACTCCCTTTCATTTTTCCTGTTACCAAATGACTTACTTTTTTTTTTTTTTTTTTTGTCTGTTTAACTGACAATCAGCTTTGGATCATCAATGTTGAAATCATGCCCACAGTTGCAAATAGATATCTAAACATTTTGGCTTCTTCATGAAGTTTCTGTTCTTAAAATAAAATTTTGAAAATTATTTTGAAATAAATGGTTGTATGTACATTTGATAAATAAAAATTAATTTGTTCCTTGCATTATTGATCATCTTATGATAAATACGTTTTTCTGTTGCAGGCAAAATTTGGCACATTAGAAGATTATTTTTCTGCTTTAAGAGAGGATAGTGGTGTAGATTTTCGGAATATGCCTTCCAATTTCCCATCAATAATAGGTGACTTCTTTACGTATGCTGACAGAGATGATCATTACTGGAGTGGATACTTCACATCAAGGCCATTTTATAAAAATATGGATCGTGCATTAGAGGCACATTTGAGGTATTTTAATTGTAAATGTACTTAGATAAATAATAAATTTGTTCCGTAAAAAGTAAGAAATTGCTCTGTAAACTAGGACTCTACCAATACCTGTATATGTATAATTAAAGGTTTGCTGGAGTTTGTCTAAACTGCATTATGTCATAATTGAGGCATCTCAGGAAGAGGTGTTTCGCATTTTGTGGTATGCAAAATCAGTATTTGTAATTCTGATTGAACATAAATTTTGTAGACAATTTCGAAAAGAAAATCCTACTGACAAAAGCATTCAAAAGTTCTGCTGCCAATTTAAAGAAACAGGCTGTCTTTGTAACGGCAAAAGCATAGGGAGGCCACATGTTAGTAGCAAGACTGTGGAAAAGAGTAATATTTCTATGCAGCCCAAAGAAATCAAGTAATGAAGCAAGTTATTAACTGAGACTTCCACAAATAACAGTGTGGTGTGTTTTGAGAAAACAATGGTACATGAGACTGTTAATAGCATGTAGTTGTGGACTGTATATTGTTACGTACATATTAGTTCATATGATTGAATGCATGGAGGTCTGATGATAGGTTTATAAAATTTATTTTATCAAGTTGGATAAAATTTATTGTATCAAAAGAAACATTTCAGAGTTCTGGAACTTTCCATAGAACTACTCGTAGTAGTGTTAACAGTATCACAGAGTATAATCAGTAGTTACACTTCCAATTACTAAGAACATTAAACACAACACAACGCAAAGGGTATCTAAAGAGCAAAGCTAATCTGTGGACAAAATCAAAAATCAAAGACATCTCAGTACTCTGACCTCTAGCTGAGCTAATAGCTAACAACAACTGAGAACTGATGCTGTCTTCAGTCTTATATTGTTCAGCCGTTGAGATATTTCTAGTACTTTCTACTTCTCAAAATTACTGGAAGGTCTAGATGTGTTTACAACTAATATAGTGGTCAATTACGGTACTTAGTATGGTGGCATAGGTGGACCAAAATGTTAATATGTTTGGCGATATAAATTAGTCACCAAAACCGTTGCTTGCTTGGCGATATCTCGCCAAATTAGCGACCTAGCCATTTACTCAAAGTTATAGACTTGCCTCTGCATTTATATTTTTTGGCAGAGCATCCTTTGTCTACATTTTTCATGTTACTTTATACAGAAGAAAATAACAATTTCACACATTATTTCAGTAAAATTATCTATGTAAAAAAATTCATAACAAATGTCATTCATAACAAAGTCAAAAGGAAAACATTAATGGCACTTATTCTCTAACATATAATAATGCCTTTTAAATGGGCAAAAGAGTGAGCAGGGATTAAAATTTAATTATAACAATCAGCTGCCACTTTGGGCAGAAGAAAAGTGACTCTGTATGGACCATGTGTGTGTTTATCACTTACTGGTTAGTACTGGGTTCTTGCCACTGACATTGCATGATGCTGCAGTCATTACACCAGTGCAAATAGACAAAATATTCTAGTTGTGATGGAACATTACAGCCGGTATTGAATTGTGATACAACAATTTCAATTATTTAGTGATGATTTACAGCATTTCAAAATTGATAATCCCTTAAATAATTGTCAGTTCTAAACTTTAAGAACATTAAAAAGCTTGAAAATAATTATTATACAAACAAATATATGAGTTGATATAAAAACTGTTACAATATACAAACATTTCAAATTAGGCCATATAATTCATTAAAACACACAATCATTATTTATTAAATTCTTTTAATGTATAAACTATTTCTAAATATATGTAATATAACCTCAGTTGAAACTTGAATATTAAATTGGTAATAAACATATTTTTTGAAATAGATCTAGTGATTCCTGAAGCAGTTTTAATTTTAGCTACACGTACCTTACCATCAGTATCAGGGATTGTCTCTACCTAATTCTGCCTAAGTCCCAGTGACAAGGAGGCAGATTCTCATCCTTAAGAAAAGCCATTACACCTGTTTGTAAACTGGCTTTCTGAAATTGCCATTTATTGCCATGTTGCAAGTGATTGACATAATCTGTCAATGCTTTTGTATTATTTGAAAACATTTTGTTGTGGGCTGCTACCTGAATAACCTATTATCAGTAATTTCTGTAAGTTCTGGTTCTGGTATAGAAGAGGTTGGATGGCCAACTAGAAAATGCCCTAGCATTAAAACTTCAAATTCTTTAATATCATTAGACATAGGGATTAAAGGGCAAGAATTTAAAATTTTTTCTGTCTGAATAATGATTGTAAGAAATTTTTCAATAGTGACTTTAGTGCATCCATAGTTCTTTTAAGATGGTACTTAATTACTTGCACTATGACTAAACTTCACGGTTGCGGTGCCGTGCGCTACAATATAACAAAGTGGTAAAGTGTCTCATTTACGCCGCTCCGCGTCTATGCTTGCAATCCAGAGCTGTAACTTGAGAAATAAACAATCTCATTGTTCGGTGACGTGTGCACCATGCTATTTTCATTGCGATAAATACCTATCGACGTGGTGTTCACGTCGCTCGCGGTGTGAGACAAAAGCATCTCGACGTGCGTGGTATGTCTTTTTAGCGCAAGTGGTTAAAGGATTTACCCCCTGCTTCCTAAAAACCATTCTTATGGTGACTTCCTGCAAACCACCAAAAATCTGTAATCTAGGAGGAATTAATTTCCAAACTATAGACTCTGAAGTGAAATACCTGAATAATGCTTATCTTGTTTTCTAATTAATTTTTGCAAAAGCTTTAATGCTCTATGTGCCCCCTTAAAATTTGTATCATTATCTGTAATAATGGAACGAGAGTTTTCGTCTTCTGCTCAAAATTTTTTAGGAGTTGCTATAAAGGCTTCAGATGTCAAGTCTGGTACTATCTCCAAATGGATCCATTTCTTTGTGGATAAACATATAAATACAACATAAATTTCAGGATAAATGCCCTTGCATTCACCCTTTAATTGGAGATGAAATGGCCAACATCACAATTAAGAAATGGGGAAGTTGGCGTTACATGCTCAGTGGGAAGATTACCCATGACCTAATTTGCTGCAATTGGCTTGTTTTTAAAGCAAGTCACACATGCATGAATTACTTACAAACTAAGCCCTTGCCAAAAATAGGCCAGTATTTCAAACACACCTGATGAAGAAAACCTTGCGCTCGAATAATTAGATGGATCTTTTGGAAGTATTCGAAAATCAATACACTAACTCTGTGACAAGGAGGCAAAATCAACTGGTGTTTACAATTGAGTTTTTTCCCTTCCTCTGTCACAGTTAAAGGATAATTCTCATCATTTTAACCTACTTAGTGCAGGAACAGGTTTACCTCATTGAAAACTGTAATATATGAATTAAAGACAGTTACTTGGGTATGCCCTGTAAGAAATGTCTCAGCTTTTTGCATCTCATCTAGACTTAAATACATACCCCTGCATTTTATCTGGCAATTTACAGTTTATGATGAACCTGAAAATAAAACCAAGAATTCTGATTACTTTGTGAAGGTTATTGTAAAGTTTCAGAAAATATTCTATAAATTGTTAATTCATTAACAAAGTCAGAACTGGATTCAATTATTGTTTTAGTTCTTTCCTAGGTGTCAACATATCATCCATACAAAAATCCATAGATGTGAATGCAGCAGCCTTGGGAAAATAGTTCTGTTTGTCTGCTGCCAAAGCTATTAATGTTTTCATAGCAGATGGATTGCTAATAGTATTGCATGTTACTTTTCATAACCTATAAACATTGACTGGAGCATCACGGCTTGGCTTTAAGACAATTCATTGCAAATTTCTCTGTGATGAATTTATGAGAATTTGTTGATACATTTCCTTAATATCGGCACTGAAGGCAAAGCGATGTTTTCTAAATCTTGAAACTTTACAAAAAGGATGCTCTTGAATTGTGCCCTCTGTTTAATGGAATTGAATTTAGGGAACAACCACTCGATGATTTACATGATGCATGAAAAACAACTCTTAATCAAGTTAAGTTTTCTCTCGCAGTACATTTCATTAGGGGGAATGTAATAAAAGTATCACAGTTATCCTTTGGCATAACAGGTCCCATGTGATTTAAGCTGAAATATTCATTCGTAAATTCCTTATACAAATTTTAGCTATAGTCTTATGCACATCAAGACACTTCCAAACTGTGTTCAGTCTCTTGATAGCAATTTCTTTAGATGAGCCCGCGCAGAAGTGGCATTATCCATCATAGGTAATTTTACTATGTATCTACCTGTTTTATCATGTGAGTGTGTTTCATTAAAATGCTCTTCGTAAAATACTTCTTCATTCTTTACAACTTCATTACCATCTCCTGGGAAGAAATCTAATTCGAAAAACTTCTAAATTGCATTATTGATATTTGGTTCCTTTATCAAACAACAGTTGGTAGGGCCTTTGTCATTAAATAAGCAAATTTTATGTTGTGCAATATTGTGTTTTCATTAAGTGCTTGAATTGTACCTTCTTTCAAGATTCAAAGAATAATTCACTTCCTATCAATATATGGATTTTACCTGGTGAGTAGAATTTAGGGTGTGTTAATTTAATGTCATGCAGTATCTTCACCTTGATTGAATGAGCTGATCCACTTATTCCTGAAATGTATTTGGTCACAAATAATTTGCTATTTTTGACAATGAACCCATTCCTAACATTCATATTTTTGAATACATTACATTTACAGAGAGTAGGATTTCCTTTAGAATGGTTAACTTTTTTGCCTTCAAATTATTCAAATTAATAACAAAACCTTTTGGTTTTGCACTGATACTGGGTTTAGGCGTAATTTTGGTAGCCATATCTTTATGAATGTTTTCTAGAACCAAAGTTCGATTTTCAAGAAAACTTTAAAATCCATCCAGTAATGGAACATCTTTGGATTTTAGGGTCAGCTCAAATTGCTTTCAAGATGCTTTGTCAGTCTTCTGAAGGAGAATATTGATTAATGTTGCGTTGGATAACGTATGAAGATCAAACGCGCTTTAGGGCGAGGTGCGTACGTGAAGCCTTCAAGGTGCTTTGATTACATTTGATATTATCTAATAACTGGCGAAGTTCCTTAGCTGATTCTTGCTGCATTTTGTCTTGGTTTAAAATATTTTGTATATAACTATCAACTATCACTCGTTTATTTTCATACCATAATTCTAATGCCTGAAACAATAATTAGCATGCATCTTCATAATTCTTGATATTTTTTGCCTCTTCTTTATGAGCAGCCTTTAAATAATAAAATTTAGTGTTTTACATATTTTTAAATAATTAAGGATATAAACTGGCATTTAAAATTATGAAATTCTTTATATTTTTGAGGAATTGAGATATAGGTATTTTGAGCATTTTGACATTAATGTTTTCAACAATATTATTTAGTACAGGCAATGTATTTATTTTTATTTTGAGGAAAGGTATTTAAGACTCACCCCCATTTTGTCCAGATCATCATCTAGTTTTTTGATGATTTCACGGGATTCCTCTATGGAGACCTCTGCTGGTAGATTGAAGTACTGAAGTTTTAGTTCATCCAAGTATCGCTTTATTCCTGATAGTGATTGCAATTTCTCTTCTAAAAAAAATGCACTTTCTTCATTTTTGCTGAAGTCACGTAGAAAATGTTCCAGTTTTGTGACTTTCATCTTTAGACAACTGTATTGCCCATTTAGTGATCTAAAATTATCCATAGTTACGGATCTTTTTTTGGGTTGGTTAGGACCAAAATGTTGATATGATGCAGTTGGGGACTGAATGGGATTTCATAAAAGTTGAAAAACTAACAATATTTATTTTTTGAACATATAATAATGCCACTTAAATGGGCAAAAGAATGAGTAAGGATCACAATTTAATTATAACAATGCATGATTATCGCTTACTGGTTAGTACTGGGTTTTCACTACTGACACTGCATTTGTCCTGCAGTCATTACACCAGTACAGATAGACAAAATACTCTCACTGTGACGGAACAGAAATCATGCAGTTTGCAAATGACTCAAGCTTTACTTCCTAAACACAAGAATCAAGGAATAGAATTTTGCCTGAATATGCAGGGCAAATATGTGTGTGAGAATATTTTTTACCCCTCCTCATATTCAGTGACAAGGCAGTGTTCCATATCAGTGGGAAAATTAACTGGTGCAACATGTAAAATCTGGGGGACAGGAAATCCTCACTGTGCCTTTGAGCATGGGCGAGATTCAGCGAAAATGATTGTGTTTTCTACAATTGTATGGGCTGTGCAATTTTTTTTTTTTTTTTTTTTTGTGGAAGTGTCTTTCACCAGGATGGTGCACCTCCACAATGGAAGACTGAATTGCATGAATTTCTCAACAGTGCGATTCCTGATCATTGGATGGCTGCACCAGAACAAACGCCAAAGTGATGTTTACTTGGCTTCCCGGGTAACTGAACATTACCTCTTATGACTTTTTTTGTGGGGTTATGTGAAAGACAAAGTATATGTGCCACTACTGCCATGCTACTTGGAATGACCTTCGAATATGCATGAGTAATACGCCGAACTTAGTAACACCAAATATGCTGAAATGAGGGTGGGAAGAAAAGGACTATCATCTGGATGTTGTCTGCATGACTTGAAGTAATATTCAACACTTGTAATGGCATAAAATATTTGAGTTGTCCTTTCTTTTAAATTTGTTCTGATAAGCGCTTTTTTTATAATTAACTTTATTTTGGTATTTTAAAATACAGTACACTATTTTGAATAACCCTGTATAAGGACATCAATAACTTTGTCTAAATTATGTGTATGTATATTTAAATATTTAATTTTACAGAGTGATATATATTTATGTACCTTATCATGTCTGTACAATGCATACATAGTGTATGTAAATGTGTTTAATGTAATATGCATTGAATATTCTTTGAAATGTTTTTGATATTTTGTGATTTGGGTCTGGCCTCAGAAAGGGATTAAACTTTTTCTGATAATGATGTATGAGAAATAGCATTCCACATACTGAATGCCATTGCAAAATGCATTATGCTTGTTATGCAAAGTGCCTCTTTATTTCGCATGAGCTATGGTTTATGCAAAAAAGAGAAAAATGCCAGTGTAAATTCTGTCAGTTATATACATGCCTGAAGTTTTCCTCTCAGACCGTAGGAAGCAACATGTTTATATACATAGAATTTCCACATACATTTACCACCTTGTGGATGCTTCTTTTCAGGAAGTATTGTTATGTAGCACTTTAGCCTCATGGGAACTCTCGTAGGTTTACTGGAAAGTGTAACAGAAATCCAGTATAATCACTGCAGTGTCACAGTAAATGTTTGCTAAGCTAGGATTATTACTGTTATTAATTTAATGTAAAATTCATATTTTATGAAATATAGTACCAGTTCTTACAGCTATGAATCTTCTGTTTTAAATAATTCAAATTGACTTTCTTTAGGAAATCGATGAATTCAAAATTGAAAGTGCAATTTTTAGATAAAATGTATTTAAATACAGTAATTTTACAAAGACTTATTGCTGTTGGCTTTATATTTACTGGTACTGGAGATAGTGCATCAGGTTTTGACCTTGTGTCAATTAAATAATCTCTCAATGCTTCAATATTTTAAAACTAAGCACTAACTAAACAGGAAAATCGCACGTTACTGACAGGCTAGTTAACTAACTAAAACAAAGACAAAATGCTCTTGTCACTAAACTGCAGCTGATACTAGTTCATCTTTAAGCATGGCACTATTCAATATCCCTTGTACATTTATATATAAAAAGTGTTTTGTGTATTTTATATAAAAAAAAGTAATTATCAGGCACCAGATTCTCAGAACTTTCGGATTATTTATATTGTAGGTATTTTGTTTACTTGGTTTCCGTAATTATTAACTTAAACCCACATGAAATGAAGTTCTGTTATATTAAATAAGTAAATGTTAATGTTTTAGGGCATTTGCAGTTTGATTTAATAAAGTATTTTGTATTTCTAGGGGTGCTGAGATATTATTTTCATTAATGATGGCTAAAATGGAAAAACAGACAGTTACGTCTGTTCTTCCATATCTGGAAAGTTTAATGGGAGACCTTGTTGCTTCAAGAAGAACATTAGGCCTGTTTCAACACCATGATGCCATTACTGGTACATCAAAGGATCATGTTGTTGTTGACTATGCATCAAAGTAATCTTGTTTCTGGAAAATATGTGTATTTTCTGTTTCTGCACAAGTTAAAATAACATGCATTTGTAAAGACGTATTTTTATACCTTTCAAAAATTAATTGTATCTTTATTTCATATAACATGCTAAATATTTATGTCTAAATCTGTGTGCATCATTACAATACAATATGTAAATGCACTGCTGGCCATCAAAATTGCAACACCATGAAGGAAAACAAATGCAAGAAAGATATTTTTTATTGTACGTAAACACTTTTATGCAGTGCTTCAGATGTCATTTCTCCCTCCTGTGGCATCTAAATGTGCTGAAATGCTAGTCATTTGCATATCCCAACCTCTTCTTCCTTTCACGTGATTTTACTTTTCATCAGATTATTCCTTCCTGTTGTTGCAATTTTAATAGCCAGCAGTCTATGAACTCCATATCACATTTGTGGGGGGTAATGACTAACATATATAATTACTTATTGAAATTATGTTGTTATATTGAAAGTTTAATGGGAGATTAATTCAGTTATTGGAATCTGATTATTTGTTTCTGTTATATGTAAAATTCAGTTTTTGCTCATGCTTGGTCTTAGGGCAACATAAAGGTTTTAGTTAAAGATCAAACCTCTTACATAAATGCAAAAATTAATAAGAATTGGCATGAATAAATAAAATGTGCAGTACTGTTGTTTAAATTCAAACATAGCCTTTCTCAGTTGCAAATTTGGAAGTGAGACAAAAAAGAAATGTTGACTTAAGACAACACGGAAAATGTTTTAAGAAATTTGTGGGCACATGGAAAGGAAATCTTTAATATGATTTATTGTATAAAAGTGGATAAGGAGCAATTAAAAATGAAATTCAATAAGACAAACCTTAACTAGGAATTGGAATTATGATCATTAAGTAACCTTTTAATGGTCATCAAATGAGCTCATGTCCCATTCGAGTTATACACATCAGGGGAGCAAATGAACATGCTCATATTACAAATTTATGACTGACAGATATCATATGTTTGGGAGGGAAGAGTTGCTTAATCTCACGGCTGCTGAAGGGTTAAGCTAGGAAGACTTATACATGTGGAAATCTTCCAAAAATCAAATTTCCCAACTGAAACTGCTCTTTGTATGATTTATCCGTCTGAAACAGCATAGTTTGATTTCCCCACCAGCAGTGATGCACAATGAAGGATTTTTCTAAATCTCTTCTCAACATAAGTTTCACATTGTTTATTGTGTACTTTCAGTGGTTGCCACAATGGTGAGGAATACTGTAGATACCCCATTTATAGACCAAACTATGTATTTTATTAGTAGAAGACAAAATGATACAAAAATAAATAAATAAATAAATAAATAAATAAAAAATAAAAAAATCTGAAATGTTTCAGATTTTAAATTACGTCCAAAGGGGCGTTTTTTAACATTTTGTGTGTTACCTTTCTTTATTAAATATCATGTTCCTCGCACTTAAACCATAAGATCCAGTGCAACAGCAATATCGCAAAATATTTTGAAAACGAGCATAGCTTTAGAATTTCCGATACAGAGACTCACGCGCTGGAGATAAAAATGTTTTTTCTGCACAACGTTGCCATTGCTCGCTTTGAAATCCTTGAGTTTGTTAATCAAAAATTCGTCAAAGTTTTAAAAATAGGAAATCGATCATAAAACAAATTTCAAATTTCAAATTTGGTCTTCCACATGCTCATATTCGTTGGAGGATTACGTTATTCAAAATTCGATGACTCTATGTACCGTTGTTTTATCACAATACGAGAAATATACATACATTTATGCAGATTTTTCATTATTTAATTTCTTCAAATATAATGCAGGACTCTAACATTTTGTGGCAACAGTTTGAAAAGTGAACCGACATTTATAAGTCCGACGCAAAATGCCAAAACGAAACTAATAGTCCTTCGGGATTCAAATCCCTTTGGACTAATAAACCTGTGTAGAATATAGGCTGTTTTGTAACTAAGCAAAGGAAAGTGTGCGCTAATTCTAAGTTCCGATGATCAGTTGGAGTGACAAAATGCTTTTCTTGTCATGAGATGAATTTTTTTTCACTACTTACAGGGTTCGTACAGTCCTTAAATTTTTTTAAATCGATTTTTGGTCCTTAAAAGTCCTTAATTTCAGCGAAAATCAGTAGAAGGTCCTTAATTTTAATCATCTGAAATTTCTCTCTGTTTTTACGACTGCCATTTTGCGTGTGAATTAGTATTTTGGAGGAATATTTTTGGTAATTCACTGACGTATATGGTTATCTTTTGAGTGGGTTCATCGGTTATAATTTGTTTCTATTTCTTATATAAATGAAGGGATACTTGAGTTTCTAAGCAAGAAGTGAAACATAATCATTTCAAAATTCATTTTTTCTAATAAAAAGAGCTCTTAAACAACTTTTCGCTTTTCGGGTTGTGAATTCTTTTATTAAACGGTTCTAAATTTGGCAACTTGTCAACATTTTGGCGATTTTAAGATCAGTTTCTAAAGAAAAGTTTTAATTCCGAGATCTGAGAATTTTTCGGCGATTTTTTTTAAAACATCATAACATTGATAAATTTCATTAAAATAATGGTAATATATTAGAATTATATTTAAAAATAACATTAAAATAAAACATTTTTATTTTTCGCTGTCATAGTATAAAGTTTCATTTTAGCAACTTATACAATATTTTAAATCTGAAAAATAAACAAGGTATTACCTATAAAGAATAATTTATGAAACAGCTCTTGGTAAAAGCAAAATTAGCTATGTAATTAATTAAAATGTCTTCTTTTTAATTTTTTTCATAGTAAGCATTTTTTCCCATGTAATTGTCTCAGATTATTCAAAATTCTCAGAATATGCATCAGTTTTCTCTTTAAAATTAATTTTACACTTTTTTCCTTCCTTTTTTTTTCAAAATATTTATGGCTTTTTGCTGTTACAGAACTGGTTGGGATAATTTTTCTTTAGTATTTTTGACATTGCAGCATGGAAAGTTTAGAAGGATTTGAAGGCAAGATTTATAGACTCACGATTCTAGAAGATTCGAGAAATATGTGACAAAATGAAAAATGTCTCCATGGTATCAACATATCAACACGTAAAGAATGCATTTTACAGAAAGTTTGCGATGAATTTCTTACTTTTTGGAGAGCGTCTGGAAGAACAATGGAATCATAATATTTGAGTGTTTTACTCCTGATACTAGAATCTTTTTTCTTAACATGTTTATCTTCCTTTTATTTTCTCTACTTTTCACTAGACAAAAGCATGGGAAATATAAAAAATGCTTCTAATCTTATCACTTGGGCAGGCATTATAGAAAGAGATTTTTTTATTAAAAAAGAAATTGAAAACTTACAATTTAAAACATTCATCTAATATGTCTAAATGTATTGTACACAGAGCTGGTGCTATGCATTTTCCCACCTGATGCAATCTCTGTGTATCCTAAATTCTGCTGCCTAGTGCCTATCTAAATTCTGCTTCCAATGCCTGCTCTAAATTCTAAAGGTTTTGCCACACCTGCTCTGTAACCGGCCTTTACCATACATATTTCATATTTCTTCTGAATGTTCATATTACTAAAGAAATAAAATTAGCTGCTTTTTGTGTACTTTCTAAATGCATTTAGAATTAAAGTGAATTTTAGAATTTAGTGTTTTTTAGAATAACAGAAATCCTTAATTAAATTCAAAATTCTGAAATTAAAAGGAAACACGCTGAAGAAAGAAACCGAATACATAAAGAAAATTATTCTTCAAAGATATGTGCAGTTATTATTATGTAAATTACCCAATCGTTTATCATTTCAGTCTTTTCTATAACTTCCCATTTCTGTTTCCTCATATGATAGAGTTACTGAGCCAGAATAAAATAAAATTAAATTGTATTATCTTTGACCACTAGTCCACATTTTTAGTTTGAATTTGACTGTTCTTGTTTAATTACGTCACCATGAGCTGTAATTGACTTTGTTGGCATCAGAACATGCCTTTATGTTCTAAGTTCTTTGTCTGACATTGTAGTTACTTTCAGATACAGTGATAATTTGCTTCACGTCTATCCGAGGGGGGGACTATTTAACTTTTACCAGATCAAGTAAACCCTCATAGGTACATTGTGGAGAGGTTGACAAATTAGGAGATGAAGCACACAGAAACTAGTGAGAACATTGGTTTGCATATTGAGACAAATTTCTAATTATTGTCACAAAAGATCGATAATTAAAGAGAAAGAAATTGACATAAATTAGCCAAAATGTTTGGGAAGGCTTGTGGAGACATTAGGTATTTTTGAAAGCAGGAAAGATAAAAAATTAACAATGCCTTCGCTGAGAATCGAACCGCAGACCTCTGGAATACCGCTACCAGTGTGCAAACCACTACACCATGAAGGGTCGGCAAGAAGGGTGGAGAAATACTTTATACACTCCCCCTTTTAAAGGGCGACTGGGTTTTTTAGGGAATCCAATCGCCAAATCCTTTGTGTGAACAATCATCCAACACCCATGAAGTAAAACTTATTCTTTGCATCTACTGAGACTTATATATAAAACAACTTATCACCTCTGGCACTTTAATGGCTTATTGGAACCTTAAAGTGCATTAACTGGGTTACAACCCCTGAATCTCTACACAAAGCTATGATATTAACTGCATTAAGCACAGCTTGACTAACTTTTAGTACTTGCCAACCGTGCCTACATCAGGCCTTTCAGGTTTGTTTCAATCAGCAGGTCTCTCTATAGGCAAGCAGCAGAGGGACAACATTCAGTCTTTTGTTATGAATCATGCTGATTATGCATAAGGGAGGGGTAATGAAGGGGTAAATTCTCATTTTAACCTATCCCGTTTGACATAAAATCTCCCTACTATTTGCTAAACCTCTAGACTGCCCGAAAGTATGTGATGAAATGAGACATTTAAAAAAAAAAAAAAAAGAAAAAAAAAAAAAACAGCATAAAGCTAACTATTAGTAAAAACGTACTTATCTTCTTTTAAAGTATGTCCAACTATTATAAGTGTAAAATATTTGATTGCCTACTTGATAAACTGCATGAAAGTTTATTTTATTCTCAACTTATTAATAATTATGTTAGTTAATTCATGTTTAGTAATAATGCATACTACTTAGGTATCTATTTTATTTTTAGGATGGTATTACAAAAGTGAAATTCAGGCATATAATAATATTTTTAATTGAATTTATTCAGTTCCCATTTGCTCAAAGGTCCTTAATTTTTTTCGTTAATGGTCCTTAAAAGTCCTTAATTTCCATGTGCAGAAATGTGTACGAATTCTGTACTTAGAATGAATAGGTGAAATAAAAAAATCTCTGCCAGTAGCAGTCGTTCTTAAATATGATTTCCTGATAAGGAAAAAACTTTATATTCACAGAAAATAAAAGCCAACATTTGCTTACCGGATTGAAATGAAACTTGGAATGGAGGGAAATGCATACTGGAGAAGCATTTTGATGCATATTAGTGCTGAAACTGAATTTATTGAATATGAGTGGAACATTGAAATATGTAAGGGAATCTGCATTATTAAGTTAAAAATAAATCAAATTACTGTGTGTGTTGATTTCATGACTAAGAGAGTTTTGATTAAATATTTATTTGCAATCAAATAGCACAAAAGTATCATTTACATAATATCTGATGTGAAAAATTTAATAATTTAAGTAATTTTGATTCATGATAATGCATATAAATGCTAGAAAGAATAGGACTGCAAAAGGCTCCAAGGCTAATTGATTGTTGTCTGTTATTATTTCAACCTCGAGTAGCACATATTTGTGCATCTCTGCTTGTGTGAAACTTAATGTTAAAGCAGTTAATTCATCATTGCTACCAAACTTATGTTAGGTTTTTTTTTTTTTTTTTTTTTTTTTTTTTTTGTATCATAACAAAGCATGTTATAGTTGTCTGCTTAACAAGAAGGCTTAGAAATGAGGTACTTGATCCTTTTTCATTACAAAAGGAACAATAACTCCTATTCACATTGCATATAAAGTAAGCCATGAACACATTCTTTTGGATTTGATCTCAGGTCTAATTACCAGTATTCTACTGTCTTATCCACTTGGTTGGTGAAGTGAAATGCTGAATTACTGTGCACAGTTGAAATGAGGAGGGAAATAATTTTATGATGGACAAAGTATGTAAAAAAATACTAATTTCTAAAGCTTCGTGTTCTTTTTAAACCTTCCTTATTCTAATGGAATAGAATTCTAATGGAAAACTTCTGAATGAAAAATATGAATGCCAAATTATGATTACAGTGGCATAAATAAGAAAGAATTTTTCACTGAGGTAATTCATGTTTATTTTTGTTACTTCTTTGGAAGTGAAAAAGTGAGGTGAAATACTGGTTGCTTTGAACTTTTGCAGTTTGTTTTAATGTGATCTTCAAAGTGCAGTTTGATATTGTAATATTACTGTGAACTTTCTTTACAATTACTGTATTACCTGCTGTGACAGAGTTTTTTAAAAATAAATATAAATCAGTTAAGAACTTGCAACCTTGCATATGAGAAAACTTAGCTAATTGTCTTCAGATCAGCAAAAATTGTCTTCTATTTAGTAACTGGAGTAATGAAACAGATTTTCAGAATGTTAGTGATGGTTTTGCTAACATGGAAACAAGGAGAAGAGCACATTAGAAAATTGGAATTAAGGTTTTGTTTAAAAAATAAGCATGCAGCTGTTTTTCCCGTATATCTTGTATTAACATTTTATAGATCTTACAGTGTACAAGGTGGTTAAAATTAAAGTCTCCTACTCTGAGCTCAATACACATCGAACTACTGATTGTAAAGTCTCCAAAATTGTTAAACACACTATTAAAGACATGGGGAAAATGGATTACGTGAAAAAAAAAAATTTAGTGCTAGAAACACCTTTAGGTGGCGCTATACAACAGAACATATGCTGAAAAGACACAAAATATGCTTTCTAACACATTTTATTCACAAAGACATTATTGATGCAAGGAAAGCTGCTCAATACGGTTTCCTTCTTCAAAATGTAAAATTTGCAGTTTGTTGACAGCTTTTTCAACTGCGGATTGTAATTGGTTGATTGAGATGCTTCTTACATGCAGAGTAATACTGTCTTTCAAATCTGCCAAAGTTACCAGACGTCGTCGATAAACAACATTTTTTTAAGTAACCCCCCACAGCCAAAAATCACATGGATTAAGATCTGGGGAACGAGATGGCCAGAGAGCGAAATTGCAGTTACGACGACAGTTTAAGTTTCTTAACTTTTTTGTGTTCTTTTTTTCACATCAGCAATAGAAATTAAAAAGGAATATTACCATACCTCATGTCTGTCTTTTTTTTTTTTTTTTTTTTTTTTTTTTGTGTGTGTGTGTGTGTGTGACTATGCCTTTTCAGCATATTTTCCGTTGCACAGTGCCACCTGCCGGTGTTTCTGGAACTATTTTTTTTCACATAGTCCATTTTATATTCAACAATTTTTGGGCCTTTACACTCAGTAGTTCGGTGTATAGAGAGCTCAGAGTAGAGGTGTTTTAATTCCAAACTGAAGGACTGTTCATAAGTTGAATACAGGAAATTTAATGTTTGAAAAAGTGTTGCTAGAATGCTTGGAATTCTTTTAAATTTACTATTTCATAGATGTCTCAAATTGATTTTCAGTTAGAGTAAATGATACACATTTCTTGCATTTGCTGGCTCTCAAGATGCAGTCTTATTCTAGGGTAATGCAGTACAAAAACTATCAAAACAGTAATATATTTTACATCATCCTCACGTGCTGAATGAAATCACAGTATGTGTTTACTTCCAAAGAATTGACATTTGTGAATTAGCCAATCATTTGTGCAGTAACTGCTTCTTTTAAGTAAATATGTATGTAAGTAATCGTTAATTCAGGTGGAAACACACTGATGACTTAATGATGACGTAGTCATATTGCCACTGGCTGCAATTCACAGCAAAGAAATAAATGTTTTAAATTTGGAAAGAGAAGATAATCATTTATAATGTTTAAAAAGTTAATAATACTTATTTATCAGTTTTAAAAGAATAGACAAAATATGCCATGTTTTCTTAAAAGCTCCAGGTCCCCCCCCCATGCATTTATTATTAAATCGTGAAGAAAAAAATTCTGTGGCGTTGATTATCTTTTCTTCATATGCATACTGAGATAATTCTATTACTCTTTCTAAGGTAACTGTAATAACAACATTTTAAAGTTAGGCCAAAAGAAATCTGAAAGCTTTCAGATGTTATATTATGTCCAAAGAAGAGTTTTTTTTTCACGGGGGATTCAAAACAGCATTTGAAAAGTGATACAGACAAATTTGGTGGAACTTTGAAGAAATATTAGTGTAGTGCTTTAAAATATTTTTGGATATTAATTTTTATCTAGAAATATGTAGTAATTTAGAAAAATAGTATTCTTGGCCGATTTGCAGCATTTTAAAATGCTGCTAAGTTTTGTCAGGACGTTCAATTTTGGGGACCAGAAACTTAATATTTATTAATTTAGATTATCAAAAAATTCAGAAGCTAATTATAACTAATATTCTTTTTTAATACATATCATTGAACATAGTTTTAGAATTTTAGCATTCAAGAATAGGTAGTATTTTTTTTTTTTTTTTTTGTCATGATAGAAAAGAATGCATTCTATTCATTTAGAAATCTCTCTTTTTGAATACTGAACTTGCAGAATTAGTTATACCTCCTTAAAGTAACACTAATCTTCATTCACTTACCATAACTGCATATTGGCTTCCATAATTCGATATGTGCTATGTATTATGTTTCTATATCTCTTGTTAATTTAGTTGAGGTGCATCTGTTATCTTTCAATTGCATAGTGTCTATGCATGTATTCTTGTGGGGGAGAAAAAGACAAATTCTTTATTTGGCAGGATTCATTCTACAGACATTTTGAATCCATATCCAGTTTGATCATTTATATTATGTGTGTAATTCTACCATAAAACCCCCTTCAGTTTAGTGATTTATGTTTTCAACTCATGTAAAACAACGTTCATTATTGGATTTATAGTAATGACCTAATATGAAACTTTTTGAATGTGAATTATTATTTTATTAAATAGAATTGGTGCTGATGGAACTATATAAAAAGTGTGACTCTTTTTGTATGTTACCCTCTCATTATTGTTGAAATTCTTTCTGTAAAATTTTCTGCTGCTGTTTAAAAAAGTTTGTTACTTAGAAGTACTTTTAGAAGACTAGCGTTTAGATGTACTTACTCCTAGGATCAATGTTTAAGATAATTAAGCTTGTAAGAACCCCTTTTTTCGGGGGGGGGGGGCTCGCTGTTCATGTGTGGATATATATCTATCTTCAGGTCATGCCTTGCACTTAGAATAAAAAAGCATTAGTTTGTTGCCAAACTGGGTTTGTTTTAAAGTGATGGTTATAAATTGTAATTATATTATTTAAAGGATTTTCCTCATTGTATTTTCAGAATGTTTGCTGCTTTGGAGAAACTTCGAAATATCATCGGCCAGAGTGCAGTGTATCTTTTAGCTCCGAATTTTTTTGGTGTGTTAGATGAACAAACAGCTATTTTACAAACAGTATGTTATACTTTAAGTTTCCTGCATTTAAAGTGATTTCTGTTTTTAAGAGTGTGTTTTTCTGTTTTTGCTAATATTATGTAATGTATGTGCATTAAAGAAGATTAATGAAAATGGTGAAGAAACCCCATGTACACTTTCATTTTACATTCCTAATGTTTTATGAGTTATTTAACTGATGATATAACTTAAACATAATATTAGCTGTGTTTATTTTGAGAAATGAAAATGCATTGCTAACATTCTAATTTTTCATTAACATTTTGTTTTAAATAATTTATGAACAATTGGTTATTGGTTTTGCTCGAACGAACATCTTTTAATTCACAGTTTCCTTCACTTATCAGGGGGGGGGAAGAATTGCATTATATTTAACTTCATAATGAATTTAAACAAACTTTGTAAACTGTAATGAACCAAAATCGTTAAGTAGAGGAGAGCAGGACTCTTCAACTTTAATTCTGCTCCTAAAGTGTAAAATTGGAAAGAGCAAAACGTCGTTAACTTATTCTGTCTGTTATAAATATCGCTGGTCTCTATTAAGGTGTTTGAAACAGTTTGAGCAGCCACTTTTCAAATGTTTTAAAATCCAGTAAGCAATGTTATTCATTTAGCTGATTTGTAGGTGTTCAGGCAGGTGGAAATTTTTTACAAAATATTGTACACTGCAAAAAAAAAAAAAAAAAAAAAGGGGGGGGATAGTTCTATATGTCTCGTTCTACTGGGCCGATTGATGAAATTCAACTTGCGTTTTTTATGTCTCAAAAGCGCCACTTATATATATTAGATTTATATATAGCATTGTTCTAATATAGGTATTTTGACACAAAATATGACTTTTTCTGAAATGACATGAAAATGTTTTTCCATATTTCAGTTCTACGACTCAAATTACACCAAACTATCAAGTTTTATAAAAATTGCACGAGTAGTTTATAAAATTTAGCTCCCAAAATTTTAGCTTCTCAATGTTAATCGAGTTTGGTATATATTTATTAATCTCTCTTTTTTATTAAACTTATTTGATTCTTCCTTTCACATTTCGAAATTCAGGTTCATTCCAAATAAAATTCATCATTTTTACAATTTATTTTTAAATAATTTTTAGAAATTTTTTGAAAAAAAAATTTGAATTATAATCTATAAAATTTTTAGCATCATCTTACAGTAGATGTCTTTCTAAGCATACCTGCAAAAAAATGTAGTTTTATTCAAAATTTCCGAAGATATACGTTAATTTATATATTGGCGCGTTTTTAAATTTGGCAATTTGTTGAAAGCGATGAAACATCAAATGTGGTTTGCTAGCATCATTCGAAAGTAGGAACGATGTGACTTTTTTCCGCTCATGCGCTATGTAAAAAGGTAGGAATGAGGTGCCTTTTTTCCGCTGTAGCATAATGGAAGGGAAAGGAAAATTAATTGCCATACATTAAGAAGTTCGGCAAGTGAATTATTCTTAGTGAAAACCGAAAAAATTGTGCCAAGATAAATTTTTGAATTTCTCTGTAAATTTTGCACCAAAGTTTACAAAATTCAATATCTAGGCATAATTTGAGTCGTAGAATCGAAATATGGAAAAAAATTGGTTTTTTTATTTCAGAAAAAGTCCGATTTTGTGTCAGGATACTTAGAAAATTAGAACAGTGCTATATATAAATCTAATATATATCCTAAGTCGCACTTTCGAGACATGAAAAACGCAATTTGAATTTAGTCAACTGGCCCAGTAGAACGGGAGATATGGAACTGTGCCCCCCTTTTTTTTAGCAGTGTACAATAGCTTTCTTTTATGTATGACATTGAATGCTTGAATTAGTTCTTGATGTAAAGGGCTGGCACGCTTAAATAGGATATGGTAGAGGGAAAAGTATTTTTGTGTATTGAATTGTGCTTGAGTTGGATACAGTGTTAAATGAAAGCAAAATTCTCCCCCTCCCTCCCATTTTTGTGTTAAATTTAGTCAGACATTTCATGATTATTTCGAATGGCTTGCTGGCTGACTTGCTGGCATGAAATTTTGCATTATTTTTACTAGGATTATATTTTTAAAGTTTTCTGTAATGAGTGTTTTTCAGAAGCATCACTCTTAGTCATTCTTTTGAAGCTTTGTCTCGTGTGTTTCTTAATAAATAAAAAAAAATATTTTTCGTTAATACTCTAGAGCAGGATGGTGAGTTTCTCAATATATATGATAATTTTTTTCTCTTAAAAACGTGTCACGATTTACCTACTGAAAATCTTGATTTGTAATACATTCAGACCTATGTCTTATGTGCTAATAAATGGCACGGGGGGGTATTAAACCAACATAATATTTTATTAATAATATTTATCAGTGGAAAAGTAGCTGCAAAGAAAATAGATAAAATTTTATTAATCTTATTAATTACCTTTTAATTTCTGTAACAGGTTTTTCAGTCATAGTTACAGTGCTGTTGTTTTTGTATATGACTGGATATATTATAAAATGTTTCAAATTTTGTTGAATATCTTCTATTAGATTATTAATTTTTTTATGGATTAATGCTACTGATCCTTTGAAACATTGTTTTGTTTACAATTCTAAATTTAAATAATTTAATTTCGGCATAAAATCTGTAAAAAAATTATAAGTTAGAGCATTTCATGCTCGAGAATTTTTTTTTATCTCGGTTAATAATTCATGAAATCATCAGAAATTTAACTTTACTTAGCCACCTTGCAGCAGTATCGAAGTTCATAATCATAAGGTAGAAAAGTATTGGTTTTACTACTGTAATAATAATTCTGGCTATCACTAAATTGGAATCAGAAGAGATTCTGAGTGAGGAAACTTCTTCGAATGGAATTAATAATTTTGGAAGCTTTATCTGTTATTTTGTACTTAGTCTTTTGCTGGCTAGCACTTGTTGGTGAATTATGCAGTGGTAGCTGAAGTACTTAAAAATTCGTCATAATTTTAGTATAATAGTTATGAATTCATTTATGAAGCCTGGTAGGCTGCTCCCCCATCTGTTGTTACTGAAATTAATTTAAAAAGTGGCAGTTTCAAATTAAAGAACTTTTAAAGAGTCGACTGTATCTACACCACTAGTCTTTTCTTTCAAAGAAATCATATGCATCTTTCTTCAGATCAAATGCATAATCTCTAAAAACCCTACAAATAAAATTAAGCAAGTATGCTATGTCACTTGTATCTGTTGATTCATCAAACAATGCAACCAGTGCAACGACAACTAATGTAGGGAAACCGCTGCATCACAGTACTTTGAGAAAAGTGTCGATCTTTAATTATAACAATAGTATTGTTCTTAAAATCATTAAAAAGTGAATCTGACATTTACAAGAGGTTTTGTTTAAAAATTCTCCACCAAAAAATGGTTTACTCTCTTTTTCTAATTTCTATTTACTTTGAATGATGCAACAGTCAGTGCCCATGATTTCAGCATTAGCTTTTTAAAAACATTTTATTGTTCTTAATTGAGCCTCAAGATCCTAAATTTAATTAATTTTTTTTCTGAAGTTACTGTTTTATGGATAATCTGTTTGATATTTGTTATGTAAAGTTGAAAAATAAAAAATGCCTCACCAGATTGCCTTTCTATGGTTGGTTAAAGCACACAAGGACTATTTGCTTAAGGGTAAATATGCCTTTGTGGAGAACTTTCTAAAGGAAATGAGCTCGTATTAACATTTATGGAGAAAACCACAAAATTCAACCATGCACCCAGCTTGTTCCCCTAGATTCAAAACCATGTCAAATACAGGCATTCACCGCTAGGCCACTTGTGAGGCAGTAACAGCCATGGAGGCATAGCATATCGAGCAACAACATTAATCATACATCACCTATAAAAAGTAATCACATTCCCAATTTTCATGGAAAGGATAAGTCTTTATTTTTTGGTTTTCTACTTTATAATGAGTACTAAAATGCAAAAGAAATATATAAATAAACAATTGGAATTTCAAAACCAGGTCGAATACAGGCAGTCACCATTTGGCCAATTGTGGATCAGTAACCAACATAGAGGCACTGCATATCAATAAACTGTATTGATCATTCATCACTGTAAAAAAAATAATCACATTTTCAATTTTCATGGATATGATAAGTTATATATATATATATATATATATAACTAACACTCTCCATTAGTATAAAGGGGAAAAAATAAAATAAAAATTAAAAATACAGTTAAGAAACCCCAGTTGCAAAGAAATAAAAATTTAAAAAAATTATTATTGCTGTGAACTAATTTACAATATCATTTAAATTCTAAGAGCAGATGCAAATCAGTTGCACCCATCTAAAACCATGAAAAAACACATTATTCCCAAAAATTGCATAATTGAATAGTTGCTGAGCAGGCAGGAGACAGACTTATCAAGGGGAAGTTGCCCCCAAACCTAACTCTTCATTTACCCAATTCGTGTTTTGTCATCCATATAGGCAAGGGTAAAGGCAAAACCAAAAGTAAAATCAAATGTATGAATTACAAAAAAAGAAATCCAAACAGTGAAACCCCGAGAAAAAAAGAAGCAAATGACTAGAGCTAAAATTAATAAATCAACTAAAAGTCAATCAAGATTAGAAAACCAAATCAAGATTAGAAAACCAAATCTTTTCAAAAGTCCCAATTATAGCTGAACTGAGTAAAGATTTTTATCTAATTTTTCTAATTTCCTTATCTTTGGTCAATATTTAGTTAAAGTTGTGATTGAACTTGTAACTTCAGTTTTAAATAATGCAGTTTAGTACAAAAAATTTCTTACAATAATTCTCTATTTCAATTCGTAATTTTCTCTTCCAACTCTAATTCAATTTAAATTGATTCAATTAAATTTATTTGAATTTTTTTACTACTAATTTTTTTTTCAAAAAAAGTTTTATTTTTCATAAACAGTAGCAGTACATTTTTTACTTTTACACTTTTTAACAGTAACTCAAAGTTAGCAACATTTTTGCACACAAAACAGTGTTTTACATTTTACATTTAAAATTTACAACATAGGTT